CTCTCTCTCTCTCTCTCTCTCTCTCTCTCTCTCTCTCTCTCTCTCTCTCTCTCTCCTTCCCCCCTTATTTATTTGTTTTTCCCTTCCCATCTCTCTTGTAGGGGCAATTACGTAACTGAAACCGAAGACGACCATCTAAAAATTTGTCATTAAGACAACGCCTGGACAACCGCCCAATCAACATCTTTGTCTTCCTATCCCTCTTATAAGACCAATCAACTTCCTTCACTGGAACGATACTCTTGGAACATCTCACGAACAAAAACTCGTTGCAACACTTTGGGACGATACTCCTCGAAAGTTTCGAATCGAGCCTGTCTTTGCTGATTGTGATCGAGATGAATTGCAACATCCACATATTTCCAAGTGTTCATACTCGTACTTAATTTCGCTGCTGCTTCCACAATGTCTTGTACCCTGTGAGAACTGTCAAGATATGACTGGTGCGCAAGTGTCTTTTTCGGACCAATAGATTCAACAGAGTCATACACGGTAATGTTAAAATTCGAAGAACTTGGTTGTTCCAATGGTCCTGTATGGTTATGCAGATGGTCTCTTGATGGCGTAAGAGCGGGCACAATACAACTAACAGGAGACGGATTAGCCGTAGCGGCTGGCAAAGCAGAAACAACAATAGAAGTAGTGACAATCGGCGTTAACATATTGGATGGTGAAACATAATCCTCAAGACGTTGAAAATTTAAAGGAGATGTTGCTTGAAGGGAGAGTCTACGGACCGGAGCGAAATGAGGAGTGTAAGAAGCAACCACGGGAGGAATCATTTTGAGAAGTTGCTGTATCTGTGGATATCTGTCAAAGGGTTGGGGAATGGTCCCTTATGTCGAACAATGTGGCAAATCTAATGTCATCCTAGTAATCTCCTCATTAGAGAGAGTCATGAACTCATTGGTCAAAAGTGATTACAATATGGAAGAAGCCTCCAAATCTGAAACATTTAACTAGTATGAAGGAAGAGGGATCGTCGTTCCAACCGCATATCAGTGAGTTTGTTTCTTTTCCACCCTAGGAAGTTTTTTCATATTCGTGGCACTTTTGACAAATATTTCAAAAAGCACCTCAGTCAAGACATTTTGGATGTCAACCTTCTTTGCATCGTCAAACTATCTATCAAGGTAAGCGCGTGGATTCGGAGTGCGAATTGTGGGTGCATCGTTATCATCGGGCACCACAATAACCCCGGAGGATTTTGTGGTTGCGATGTGGCGCAAACATCTCTTTCGCATTTACTGCGTTAAGATTGCGAACACCAATCATGAACACGTGCACGTCCAACGAGCGGTGCACGAAACGGAAGAGATGCAAGTGCATCATCAGGGAGCGCATTCAGCGGTCTCATAATCCGAGTTCCCGTTTCATCAACAACAAGTTGTCGTCCCACCTAATTATCTGTCAAGGTAAGCTCCGACACTTTCTCCTCTTGAATGTAGATTCAATACAGACTTCTGTCGAATCGCCCGTAACGTTATTATCCTCATCATCGACAAATGTAAGGTTAATAGGGCTACCCGACTGACCTCTAAGTGAACCATCCCCATTTGCACGACAATCGTCATCACCCCCCTCCACAATCATGTTCTCATCATCATCAAATGTATTCCCTTGCGAACATTGACGTTCAACCTCACCAAGAATAGGGATTATCGTCCCGAGGATGTTGAGTTCCAAGCTTCACCGACCTCTCATCATTTTCACTTTTCCTCGACCTCTCTGAATGTTCGGCTCCAACTTTTGACGTACTATTCGTATCATATTGAGTGGTACTGTTGGTTCTCATTGCTTTCCTCTTAGCACGAGTGTCGAACTTATGTGGCATTCAGGAGTAGCCTGCAAAGAAAGAATATGACAGAATTATTTGAAATGCCAAGGCTCAATGAAAAAAAAAAAGCAGGGTCCATCTCAAAAGTTCATGATATAAAATATTCTTCGTTAAAAAATTCTTATCAGGCAACGCAACACGGATGTTGTTGGGATGGCCAACACGCGACAAAGCAACGTACAGTTGGTCATGCAAAAACCAGTTTGCATAGCCTAACCACAACACGCGATACTGTTTGTCCTTGCGACTTGTTAATCAAAGCAAGACGTACGGAAAATTGTCTCCTAAACCATTTGAACCCAGTTGTCTCACCATCGCTTGTCAGATCAATCTTGGGGATTAGTGTTGTTTTACCCGTGTGCATTATTGTCACTTCCAACAAATCATTAGTAACGATCTTCTTCAAAATCATCATTGTACGGTTGCAAAGTCCTTGCTTTGGTGACAAATTTCGCAAAAGCATCACAGACACATAAACTTTTAAGCGCAGCTTGTGAGGTGGACAGCCAGATTCGTCGAGATAGTTTAAGAACTCCCGCTCAATACCAAGCCTGATATCATCCGAATTAGGATAATCAACGTTGAAAAGGTCACGCACCTCCTAAGGGAAGTCGTCAAGAACACGGTTGTTATTAAAACCGACATCGTCATTCGTAGGGCATAAAATTAATTAAGGTAAGAAATACTCGGCATCCCCCACACTGTTGGATATATCATCAAACGTCCATGAAATCAACTCATCAATTGGTTTATCCATACAAATCTCACGTGGCAATCTGACCGCAGCAGGTTCATTAGGAACAACACGACGATGGTCACCATTCCCAATACGCATCAAAAAGTGGGCATACATTCGTGCCATTTCATCGTTCCCTAAGCTTAAGATTCACATATTTTCGGTCAGTTGATGAACCTCAAAAAGTTTCCACAAAGGAGACTTTTTCATGAACGCATCAATTTGTTACGCTCACGATCCGTGTTTCACAACGGGTAAAACCTGTCTAAAATCCCCAGCTAGAAGTAGAACTTTCTCACCGAACAGCTCGTCATTGTTACAGAGGTCCAAGTGAAACTTGTTATGGAGCCTCGTCCCAAACAATCAAGTCGACACAGCGGATAAACTCTACAATATCACTTTGTTTCGGAATCAAGAAGGGACACGTGTTATCAGTTTTAAAGGTGTGCAAAATTGTGAGTGAAACGTTCGACCCCCCGTTAAAAAAGTCGTCGCTATGCGATTGGACGCCTGTGTGTCCGATGAACGGAGAACGGGTTGAATTCAACGTCGTTCAACCCGTTTAACGTGCCCGGGGACCCCCGTTGAATCCCGTTTAACGCAAAAACGGGGGTGTCTCGTCGAATTCCGAAAAACAGAATTGGCGCGTTGGACCTCGGAGATGTGGCCCTATGCGCCCAAACACAAAAAAGAGAAAAAAAAAAAAGACCCCTGTTAATAGGGCGGGGTGACCAAACATGCCCCTCCCTTTCGAAAATCAAATTGCAAGAGGGGGAAAAAATGGGGCCACCCCATACCCCAACACTGTGAGCACATGTGTGTGCATGTAGGTGCATGTCCTTTTTTTTTTTTGGTACCAAATGCTCCAATCTATTCGTCCAGTCTCATTTTCGAAAGGCCCCTACATATTAGCAAGGAGCCCTCGTGGAGCAGAGATAGACATTGGACTTGTGATATGTCTACGTGGGCCTAGAATATATAGTCTGGATTCGAATTCAGGTATGTGCATCATAGTGATCACAGTTATTGATCACTAATTGTCTGTTTTTTTGTTTTTCTTTTGTTTTTCTTTTTTCTTTTTTTTTCTGTTTTTTTTTTTTTTTTCATTTTTCTTTTGTTTTCTCGTTTTTCTTTTCTTAGGAATACGTGCAGTGGCCCTAAGGGCCTCTACTCACCACATGCATAAAAGACAAAACATATAACGGTGTATTATTCCACGTTTTAGCAGGCCTTCTGGCCTTCTTCTTCTTCTTCTACTACAAATCTCCAGTCCGAAAGATCTCGTTGTGAGGGCGGATGGGGATTCTTACGAAGGTGTTGGGGTGCCTCTCTTCGTGATTGTGATTTGAGGGCTACCTGCCTCACTCCCCTGTTTTGTCATCGGAGCACCGGGGGTTCTGCACATCACATTTTCTGATTGCGGGTTTTTGGGCCTCCGGTGCTTCAGTTTTCTGTATTTTGCTCTAAATAGGATGTGCGGATGTACTTGGTCATGTTTCCGGCTTCTAGCATAATTTGTGGCCTTCCCGCGCCACCAGTCAAGCCTTCGGTAGATGAATGGCACCGGGATTAGGGGTAAGAACATTCGGGGTGGGGAATGATGTAGGATACTTCGCTTTTTCTGATTGCGTTTTTACGGGCCTCTGGCGCTTCGGTTTTCTGTGCTTCTAACTGGATGTGCGTATGTACTTGGTCAGGTTTTTGGTTTCCAGCACATTTTTGGGCCTTCCCTGTGTCGGCACTTATGCCTCCAGTAGATGAATGGCACTGGGATTAGGGGTAAAGACATTCGGGGTGTGGAATGGGCTAGGCTCTCCGTGGTTGTGAGTACCTGATGTACGAACGATGCGCTGGATTTAAGCAGAGTGGCAGGCGGTACTCGCCCTCTATCTCACTCAGAACGTGCGGGAAGCGGTTGTGAATTGCGCTGGCTGCGGCTCAGGCGCCGCTCAGCGATGGAAGACGTGCAATGCCCGCACATCCTCGCCGGGTTTTGATGTACCGCTGGCTACCTTCGCCTGAGTACTCCAACATTGGGTTTTCTGCCTGYCGCTGCTCTCCTCTTCTTCGATTGCTGTGATTTGAAGTACGGCACCAAGGACTGTGCGTAAGGTGGATGTCACTGCTGCATCATCATCCTCTTCGTCGTCGACGACCGTCGGCAGAGGCTCTTGTTTTAGACCTTACGGTTGCAAGGTACTCWAAGATGGAGGCATGTGTCGCAGGCTGCATATTGAGAAGATGAGGTCRGGTAAGCGCCGAGATGACGGGAAGTGGGGGCTGTGGGTGCGTGTGTGCATGCGTGGCACGGTAAAGGAGAGGTGTGGGGTAGGACTATAAGTACGGGGCAAGGCATAGGTATAGCCCCAAGTGTAGCTGTGTTTTTTGTTAGTTAGAGGGATCGTCCCCCTGAAGAGTCTGCGAGCGGGGCAGACGAAATGCGTCGGGGAAGGGCGGCGTGGTGGATCGAATTTCTTTTGGATGATCGTGCACCTTGTAATCTGAGGGTTTTGTTTTTCAACCTACGCTCGGATTTGCGTGTATGTTCTCTTTCAGTTGTGCATGCGTAACGGAGTGTGTCTATTGGTGTATGTTTATCTCTGTTCTCATGCGTATGCAGTCTTGCCGGGCTGTCTTTCTCTTCGGATTTGCGCGACAACCTGCAGTGCGGTTGCACACTGGGTGGTGGTCGCGTCGTCGACTTATGTGTAGGCTATGGATCGCGTGTTGCTGAAGTGCGCTTTGTGGTTTCCAGAGGTCGACACTCTGATTAGGGTAGTTGTTAGTTATGACGAGGCGGAGAATTATATTAGCATTATGATGCGAGTAGACTAGGGTGTGGGGATTGCACTAACTCATTCAGCGATAATAGGACATGTGCTGGGAGTGGATCCGGTCCCTTTTCTCTTCAATTAGTCCTGGATCGGGGTCAGGGAGCTGCAACTCCTCATGCAATTTTATCGGCTTTCAGTTGATCTCCACGCAGGTACTCCTTTATCCTCCTGGTGTTGAGCTTTGTGGCGGGTTTGCTTATCGGAGGTGTGATTATGGCTACCCCGGGCAACAAGTGCTTTAACTGCGGAGGGGAGGGGCACTTCGCAAGGGAATGCCCCTCCCAACGTCAACAGCAACCTGGTGGGGGATCAGGGGCTTCAACTCCCACTGTCAACAGGTACTGGACGTCGAGACGCACGCAGGATGATACCGAGGAGAGGGAGGAACAGACGCGTAGGAAGGAGCAAGAGGAGAAGAAAAAGATGGACGAGCTCATCCGTCAAGAGATCGAGCGCAATACAGAAGCGATGGAAGTTAGAGTGATGTCCAAGCTGGGGAGGCAGTACTTGGTGACTCGGGAGGAGGCTAGGCGGGAGGAGATCAGCTCTCCGGTTTTCCGATCGTCTAACTTTGGCACTAGGAGAGAGGTGAGCCGCTCTCCGGCTTTCCGACAGCCCACCTTAAGTACCAGGGAGAGGGAGTACGGGGAATTTGAAGACTGCGGGATTGAGGACATTGAGGACGAGATTGCCAAGCTCTACGAGTTGAGGGAGAAGAAGCGGAAGGGCAAGGAACCGCTTCAGGCGAGCAAAAAGGTTTTCCGACAACCAGATTTTCAGAGGGATGACGGGTCAGTTCTCAACACTCCTAGACCAGAATCATCAAGGATGGGGGAGGAACGAGGGCGCACGAAGATTCCGGCTGGGAGTGGGCCGGAGGGGGTTCTTGCCTATGTTCTCCAGCAGAGACGACTGTTGACAAGTAAGTGCAAGGCACAGTTGCTGTCCATCTGTGCTGCTGAGAATGTGGAATACACTACGAAGATCCGACTGTGGAGAAGATCATTGAAGCACGCGTAAAAATGGTGTATGAAGGATTCGTCTTCGCTCCAGTACCTTCTCCTGGTACTAGTCCCGAGACAGAGGGTTGTTCCCCTACTAAGTGAATAAGTGGGTTCGTGTCTTTTAAATTATGGCATAATTTATTGGATTGCTTGTCTCGTAGGAATCGGATCTGGGAAGTAGGTGGTCCACCGCATCTGTGTCGTCTTTTCGTTAAGTGTGCTACCTTGTGTTTTGTAGCCTTGGCTTTGCTAGGTGAGGTGCTTTGGATGACTAAGTTCAGGAGTCTACTTCTCGCAGTGAATTGGGATACGGGCCCTGTCATGTACGTGTTATCCTCCCCTTGGTGCAAAGCTCAATATCTTGGTAGCACCACACTCGGATTTTTTGTTAGGTGGGCGGAGCACCTTCGTACGGTCAAGATTCGAGGACTCGGAGTATGCCCCAAGCTTTACCGTTGGTTGTACCTTGTTGGTGTCGCGAGATATGTCACAGTACCACTGCTGAACGGTGTTTCGTCTGTAGGGACTGCGGAGAAGGCCTTGATTAAGAATTTTTCACCGGTTTTGAATTTCCGTAGGAAATTGCGTAGGGAACGGCGGGGGCGTCGACTGGGCAGGATCAAAAGACAGGGCAAGCGAGCTTCGAATGGGGAATTAGGTCTCATTTCGTGCCGGTTAGAAGGAGGTAGATGGTCTGATAGTCTGCTGGGTCTTCTGAGGGATGCGCTTATGCGGAATTTGAAGAAGTTCAGTATTGAGTTTTCAGCAGGTAATCCTTGGGCCGACGGATGGCCACTTATCCGAAGGTGTTTTGGGTTGTCCCTGATTCGGATCAGGACTGCAAGTTTTTCTTTGAGGGAGTTGAAGGAGGTGTTGCAGGAAGGGGGGACCTGGGAGGTAAGATCAGTGGTGTTCACCCCTAATGGGCGGGCGGTTCACAAGGGACAGCTGCAAATTTTGCTGAAAGAACCCTGGAGACGTCGTTTTCTGCGTTTGAAATCTGTGAATCTGCTGGTCCGATGGTTCAAAGCCGCTCGTGAGTTCTTAGGCAAACAAACTCGAGCCACTCTCAAAGGGATGCTGGCCCGTGCTATTAAGAACAGGGTCGACATTGATGTCCGTAACCGGATCGTAGTTAAGATGTGCTTTGACCATCGCATGGACACTTCCCGGGTTCATGGTCTGTTCATGCGTGTTTTGGGTGCCTCTAGTTTGCCGGAAGAGATTAAGGGGCTCTTAAAAAGGAAGGGTAGGTTCGTATGGCGCAAAAACGCACCGATTGGGGGTTATTTCCGTACTGCGCAGCAACTGGTACGTGAGGAAAGGAAGTCTGAGTGTTGCTGTTATTCCGAGCTCGACTGGGGTCGCTCAGGCATGCATGTCATGACCCGGATCGGGGATATTCCGGGTATCCCTAACCTGTTTAAGAACTCGCATAATATTCAACGAGTGACCCCTAAGCAAGGAATCTTGGAATTAGGGAAGCAGCTGGTTAGAGTTGTTAGTTATCTTCAGTCGTCTCTGGTGATTGAACATCAAGACCTTTCTGCGTGTTGGAAGGTGGTGGTCTTACGTGAGGATTTGACCTTGGAGTATGATTTCAACACCTGGCTGATGCGTCTTAAGCGTTTTGTATGCGTCCCTATTGATCGGAATAATACCGACTCCTTGGTGCTTTGTCCTTTTTTGTATAAGCATTTTCTCTACATGACCTTCAACTGGAATCCCTCCTTTCGATCGGTTCATGCTAGAGAATGTGATGTGCTAGGACGTATGCGGTCTGTTTTTCATGAATTGGGTTTGCACAAGCTGGGAAAGTGGGATCCGGGTGGCCGTTTTGGGGATGCTTATGCTTTACCCAAGCATAAGGATCTATCCAGGTCGAGGCCGATCTCACCCACCTTTGCTGAGCCAACCCGACTGGCTAGCTCGCGTGTGGCGCGAGCGTTGAACTGTTTATTGTTTGCTTTACCCAGAAATTCCTGCTTTAATCTTAGAGCAGTTATGGATTTCATCCCGGGACTGCAGGCTATGGACAGATCCTTCAAGGGGACTAAGGGCTACTGCGATCTGATGACGGTATCATTTGGCATTAAAGACATGTTTGTTTCTCTTCCACACGATGAAATCTATCGAGCGGTAGACTGGTTAGTTGATTTCTTTGAACAGAAAGGTTGCAAGGGAGTGAAGGTAGCAAGACGAGGTCGTAAGACATGGATTTCCTTCGGGGGTGCAAGGGATGATTGTGTCCTCGTCGCTCCCCTCGACATCCGGCAAATGGTTCGTTTTGACCTCTGCTTTACCTTCATACGTTCGGATGGGTTCCTGCTAAAACAGATTGTGGGTGTGCCTATGGGCAAATCGACTAGCTGCCCAATTGCATGTATTCTCTGTGCTTTTGCTGAATTTCAGTTCCTACGCAGTTTGGGGAGGGATAGATAGTTGGTTCAGGGTTTTAGAGTGGTAGATGACGTTACTATATTCATTGCAGTAGTGGGGGAGGAGGAAGGGTATGCACATGCTGAGAGCATCCTGGCCCGCTTCCAGCTTTGCTATGGTTCTTCTCTTAGGCTCCTTCGTACTGACGATGGAGGGGATCAGTGGACGTTCGCAGGTGTATCGGTGTTCAAACACGGGGTCGAATTACGAACGGTGGCAATTGTGAAGAACGACGAAAGTCTTTGGAAGTCAGGGCTGCTGGTTTTCGGAGGGTTCCAGGACTATCTGTCCTATTCCAGCAAGAAAGCCAAGATTGGCGCTATCTTGAGCACCTTGCATAGGATTTTTCGGCTTTCTTCTGATATTTGGGGGCAACATGAGGCCCTCTTAGCAGTAAAAAGAGAGCTTCTTATCAAACAATACCCAAGGAAACTGATATCTGCTCCCTTCCTACAGTTTGCCTCCAAGTTCAAAAGATCGGCTCCGCAGGTGGTGGCTGCCTGTCTATGATCAAGGGCTTGGTGGGGTTACCAAGCAAGCCTTCTGGCCTTCTTCTTCTTCTTCTACTACAAATCTCCAGTCCGAAAGATCTCGTTGTGAGGGCGGATGGGGATTCTTACAAAGGCGTTGGGGTGCCTCTCTTCATGATTGTGATTTGGGGGCTACCTGCCTGACTCCCCTGTTTTGTCGTCGGAGCACCGGGGGTTCTACACATCACATTTTCTGATTGCGGGTTTTTGGGCCTCCGGTGCTTCAGTTTTCTGTATTTTGCTCTAAATAGGATGTGCGTATGTACTGGGTCATGTTTCCGGCTTCTAGCATGATTTGTGGCCTTCCCGCGCCACCAGTCAAGCCTTCGGTAGATGAATGGCACTGGGATTAGGGGTAAGAACATTCGGGGTGGGGAATGATGTAGGATACTTCGCTTTTTCTGATTGCGTTTTTACGGGCCTCTAGCGCTTCGGTTTTCTGTGCTCCTAACTGGATGTGCGTATGTACTTGGTCAGGTTTTCGGTTTCCAGCACATTTTTGGGCTTTCCCTGCGCCGGCAGTTATGCCTCCAGTAGATGAATGGCACTGGGATTAGGGGTAAAGACATTCGGGGTGTGGAATGGGCTAGGCTCTCCGTGGTTGTGAGTACCTTATGTACGAACGATGCGCTGGATTTAAGCAGAGTGGCAGGCGGTACTCGCCCTCTATCTCACTCAGAACGTGTGGGAAGCGGTTGTGAATTGCGCTGGCTGCGGCTCAGGCGCCGCTCAGCGATGGCAGACGTGCAATGCCCGCACATCCTCGCCGGGTTTTGATGTACCGCTGGCTACCTTCGCCTGAGTACTCCAACATTGGGTTTTCTGCCTGCCGCTGCTCTCCTCTTCTTCGATTGCTGTGATTTGAAGTACGGCACCAAGGACTGTGCGTAAGGTGGATGTCACTGCTGCATCATCATCCTCTTCGTCGTCGACGACCGTCGGCAGAGGCTCTTGTTTTAGACCTTACGGTTGCAAGGTACTCAAAGATGGAGGCATGTGTCGCAGGCTGCATATTGAGAAGATGAGGTCAGGTAAGCGCCGAGATGACGGGAAGTGGGGGCTGTGGGTGCGTGTGTGCATGCGTGGCACGACAAAGGAGAGGTGTGGGGTAGGACTATAAGTACGGGGCAAGGCATAGGTATGGCCCCAAGTGTAGCTGTGTTTTTGGTTAGTCAGAGGGATCGTCCCCCTGAAGACTCTGCGAGCGGGGCAGACGAAACGCGTCGGGGAAGGGCCGTGTGGTGGATCGAATTTTTTTTGGATGATCGTGCACCTTGTAATCTGAGGATTTTGCTTTTCAACCTACGCTCGGATTTGCGTGTATGTTCTCTTTCAGTTGTGCATGCGTAACGGAGTGTGTCTATTGGTGTATCTATATCTCTGCTCTCATGCGTATGCAGTCTTGTCGGGCTGTCTTTCTCTTCTCTTCTCTAGCAGAAGATCCCTTTCAGTTGTGCATGTGTAACGGAGTGTGTCTATTGGTGTATCTCTGTTCTTATGAGCCGGAATTTTTTTATTTTTTTTTTTAAGCCAGGGTGTTGTAAAGGCCAAGGATCAGACCCGCGGTGATTGCTGGGAGGAGCAGCCAATGGTTGTCCTGACAGTATAGGTCACCTAGCCTACCCATCCCCACGGACTCCCAGCACACCCCTTGTCCCAAATATCCTACCTCAGTGTGACCAACACTCAGGACCATCACCCTACCAGTATTGAGGGCAACTTGGACCAGACCTCAGTGACAAGCACCAGGGTTGTGCCAACCTCCCAGCCCTAATTGAAGCGGAAGTGGACGGACCTTGCCGTACGAGACTTCGGACGCCAGGAGCATGGTTCGACTAGCAACGCAATAGGATAGAAACCAGTTTGTGGGACAGTTGAGTGACCCAAATCCTGTCGTGCAGTACTCGTGATCCCAAGGTCAGTATTTTACATGTATTACTCGAAAAAGTAAGGAGATCTTTGTTCCCCTCCTCCTCTCCTTAACATTGGGCATGCATGTGCAAAGAAAGCGTCCCGCCAGAATCTTTTCAATCGGTTGGGGGTGTGGCCAACCCCAAAAGAGGGCGGGGTCGGCCATAGGCGCACTGCATAGAAGATTTTCATTATTTTA